AATGAGCCCCCTGTTTTCTAAGGTCATACTTCTTGATTTTATTATCGTCTACTACAAATCTTAAGTACAAACTGGCGCTTGGGATGTTGTAACTTATATAATATATATTGTATCTTCGATGAGATTTGCTATTGCATACTATTGTCTTATTTTGTAATCTTGTTTGTTAATAAACTTGCTGATATGTAAGTATTTTGTTTATAAAACTGGTACGAGTTTCAAGAAAACAATTTTAAGCGAGGTAATCTTATTATTAGTGTCCTAATGCATATTTGCATAAATTTCATGTAACGAAAAATATGTAAAAATTATAAACAATTGAACACGCTCGTAAAATTTCGAAGTTAAAAAATTATTTTTGATGCACCAAATAGGTAAAAAGATGTGAAAATAGGTGTAGAATATCGTAGTGTCAATAGTTTTCAAGTAAGAATTGAAATAAATAACGAATATGGTGTAGAATTAATGTAAAAAGTCTGAAAAGGAAAAAATCGAAACATTTTTTTATTTCAGAATATAAAATGATAAGTGATAACTTTATTATTTGGCACATACATGTACAGGCACCCAGGTATATCTGTTTAATTATTATTGCCTCAATTTAATAAAGTAATCAAAAAACTTACGATTATCCTTTGGCTCTGGAACAGGCCTTTCTTCCTGAAATATTTTAATTAAGTTATAATGAAATGTATTACCTACTACTATGTACTACTATTTCGTAGACACGAATCAGAACTGCTCAAATAAATATTCCATCAAAATAATTGTCTTTAAGTAATCAGACACTGTTGCAATATTGCTTACAATTTTTTAACATTTACTACAGGATAATAGGGTTGTAAATAATACTATTGAATTTAAACTAGAAACATTAGTACTTGGCCCTAATTGCAACATTAATTAAAATAATTCTTGTTCAATTGAAACTAAACAAAAGACTAACGTGAGATTAATTACCCGTATTAAAAACGAAACGAAAATAACGAAATTTTACAACACTAGAAATCGTATCGATCAGAAATAACAGTGTGACGTCACAAAAGAATGATGGCCGACACTACGTCATAGTATTTTTCACAAAAGTGAATTTCGACCACTCCAAGTAATGGTGTTAACAGTTTCGAGCTCAAAGTGACTGATAAGGGGGAAGAACTAGTATAATGAAAAAGAAAGAGAATTTCTAAGAAATATAACAAATATATCAACTAAATGTTACCATTTATCTCATTGCTTCTTGCTTCCACTGGAACGAAATTATTAGAATGGATTTCGGTTATTTGATCCCTGGATGTCCTGGTTATCCTGACGTTCCCCATCGATCCTGTTAATTTCGATGTCCATCACAGAGAGGACATTCTAAAAAAAATAAGATACGCTCTGAATTAAACTAATGTTTAGTGTAGCAATTAAGATCCTATGTAAATTTTATTTAAATTTTACAATATGTATAATAAAGTAATTAAAGAAACCCTAAATCAAAAAAGTAACCGAAAATAAATTGATATAATGTGAAAAGTACGTAAAAATTGTAAACACAAAAAAGCGCACGTAAATTTTCGACCTGTAAAACAACTATACTGAATGTTTAAAATGATGAAACCTATAAAAAAGTATGTGTAGAATAACGTGGTGNTGATAATAAAGTTGTAAAAAGTTTAAAGTTATTATTAAGATGAAATAAAACTGTACCAAAGTCCAATCAAAAATCTGAAAGGTTTTAATATCAGAAAATATAAAATTATGTAATTCAATTATTAATTCTCTTTGTTTGTTCCCAAAACATATGCATGTTTTAAAAATTGATTAATGTACACCTAGTACTAATTATAATCTTGTAGAATACTATTTTACAACAATTTTTTCATTAAAAAAAAGTTATTTACAGCTTCAACTTTTAAACAATACAATTCCTCATCTACTATTAAACAATAAGGCCTGAATTATTTTATGATAACAAGACGCAAACACAGAAAAAGATCTATAGTATGTATGGTATGTATTTTTTTGAGTTTTTAACTAAAACGAATTCTTTTTTTAAGGAAATTTGATTTGAATGCACAGCATTGTAACGTAAACTTATTCTAGACATTTGTTTTTGAACGCAATACTTAATCAATTATAAATTCATGTTGAATAATAACTTTTTTTAATCATTCACGACCGCGTTAAAAAAAAACTTCTAATGACGCACCAGTATTGAAATATACGGTAAATGCTGCGTAAGTTTCATTTACTTTTCAGATAAAAATAAAAAAAAAATTATTTGACGAAGCCAATTTTTTTAACGTTTTGGTATAAATAAAAAAATGTGAATTAGAACAGTATAGTACAGTAACTTATCTGTGCGTATTTATCACCTAAATTCATGATAAAATAGATAAATTAATTGCAGGGGAGAAATAAATTCTTTTACATTACTATTTTATCCGGTAAACATATGAATAGTTACATACCAATCTAAGATCATTGATTCCATAAAGAACAGCAGAAAGATTGCTTGAAGGAGGTGCCATTGTTTAATAAACAAAAGAAATTATAAGAATAATAGTTTTTTAATGAAATGTATAAGAGATCACTGGTTAGCGAAAAGTTTTGCGAGGATATATTGTTGTGTCGATCAGCGAACGTAAGTTCAATAATAACTGCTGGCTCCGTTATTCTCGCAGGCTGTATTTAAAAGCAATTCATGTTAAAAAGTACACCCTACCACAAATAAAATGATACAAGCCTTAAACAATCGATAACACGGTTCATACAGCATGTTTTTCTTTTTTCTTTTTTTGAAAAACAAACGCAAACCTGTATAGCCAAGGCTACCTACATAATTACACCCTTATTGGTTGTTCTCTTATTTTTTTAACTTTTTCTTTATCCAACGGGTTTAAAACAAAAATCGTAATAAACAACTGCAACTAAAGACAGAAGACTTGAAAGATTGTAAAGATACTGTATCCAAATGGGTTTTGAAAACTGCGACTTTGAATAAAACATGGGCATTTTACTGAGCAATTTTGTTATCCATTGTTTATGAAAACTTTATCATGTACTTTAAAAAACATTTGATTTGAAAGATGTCACTGTAGAAACTGCTAGATAGGTTCGATAACTATTTCAAAATTCCATAATTATTTCTTACGTCAAAAAAATACCGGATACATGTCCTTTATTATGTTTTTATCAATCGTCTTAGAGAATCCTTGAAAGTGTATCAGTATATTACAACACTATAAAACTTTAAGCCAAAAGAAGCTACATATATACAGGGTGTTGATTAAAATTTAATTTTTCCGTGTAGTTTTTTATATTTTTTAAAAACTATCGGATGGTCGACGTTATCCACAAAAGGTAAGAATTAAAAAACTGCCATAAAAGTTTTAATTTGTTCACGAAGATAAAAAAATTAATGCCATTTGGAATTATCTACTTGTTAAAGTATTAAAAAAACAAAAACAAGTTACATCATTGTAAGTAAATATAATAAATAAATATTTCAAGACCGTAGGAAACGATACATCTATTCAATCATTGATTATTTACTAAAGACAAGAATCCTTATTTTTACGTATTTTTAGAAGCTATTATTATGTATCTATCTAATTGTAATGATAGGGTTTTAAGATAATTCTTCAATTTTTCTTATTATTGATAAGAGAAACTGTTAGCAATTTTTAAATATTTAACATTTTTGTAGGTTCAGATGATATTACAATGAACAATAAAATAAAAAGAATAAGAAACATTCAAATTTACCTAATGTATTGTGATTGTAGCAAAAACTGTGGCATATTTTACGTATCTTACTGATAAGAACAGACAATGTAAGAGTTAAGAAAATTACGGCAATATCAAAAACAAAAACATAAATGTAGATATATAGATACTAAAGGGGGGCGCGTCACCTTTTTTTTGTAACGTATTTACTTTACTATCAAAAAATTACGCAACACGTAGGTAAGCAACATGTTTTTATAGATTTGAAATTGTAAACATTACAATTATTTAAAACGGAACGAGTACTTTTGCCAAAACGTTTTTTGAGAATATAATAAACAAAAAATATAGACTAGACTAAATATAAAACTAGCCATCAGATAATTTATTTTTGCGAAAATCGCAGGCACTTTATTCATTTTTTAAATAAGTATGTCATTAATGACTTTATTATAAAAATAACTTGTACATTTCAATGTAAAATGCAAAAGAAAATAATTTCACGAAATTTGCGCGTTTTGGTCACGCACTATTTCTTACACATTTGTCGACCTTTGGCATGGTACTTGCTCTTTACGATTTTGTTATGATCACCCAGTAAATAAAGCGAAAAAATTTAAAATAAAACAAAAACAACACGTAACAGATATAAAATTAAGAGGTCGTGATACAATATCGCACTCATAAATTTCTAGTATATATTTTTAGAAGTGAAAATCGCTTTACTTATTACTACAGACTCGATACAACTTGCGAAATATTTCGAAGATTTAAAGAGAAAATCGTAAAGTATAAAATACCTATCTGTATTTCTAAAAACCTTATCGGAATGTGTTAACAACAAATCTACTACAACCATCCTTATATTTATTTATTTTTTTACGATCAAGTCAAATGTTAAAAGAAAGTATTACATTTTTTCTATCATCATTTAAACGCGCACTTTATTTACGTTTAATCTAATCTGATTAAAGTGGTAGAATTTGTTGGTGATACCACTTAGATATTCGCGAAAAGCCCATCGAAAAATCGAATCTTTTGACGCGAAAAAAAATCACGAAAAATCTTACGACACGCGATTGTAAATGTAAATGAATTCAGAAAAAGGATTTAGTAACCGTTAAAAATTTAATATTTACCTACTCTGAAGGAAGAATGCATATAGAAATAGAACTATTGAAGCATATATAAAGGATGAAATAGGGAACAACCCCAGAAAAGAAAAAGACGATGGAACCCATTAATGGGAAAAGAAATTTGAGAGTATTCTGTACAAACAGGAGTATAGGGTGGCAAAGGAAGAGCTATACTACTGTTATTTAGGGCAGTAGGAAGTTCTGGTTTTAGGAAAGATAGAAATGTATCAGTGGGAAAGCAAATTTGAGAATATTCTATACAGGGAGATATTAAAAGAAGAAACATTAGTATAGGGGGGGAAGAGAAACAGTTAGATTACTTTTAGTTAGAGTAGTAGAATATTTTGGCTTTAGGAAAGAAAGAAATGTATCAAGAAATTTGAAGAATTCTGTACAGAGACATATTTGAAACAGAAACACTAGCACAGGGAGGCAGATGAACAGCTAGGCTATTGTTAATTGGGGTAGTAGGAAGTTCTGGCTTTAGGGAAGAAGCAAATATATCACTGGGAAAAGAAATTTGAGGATATTTTCTACAGGGGTGCACTAGAAACAGAAACACTAGTATATGGGACAAAGGAAGAGCTAGACTATTGTTAGTTAAGGTAGTAGGAAGTTCTGGCTTTAGGGAAGAAGGAAATATATCAGTGAGAAAAGAACTTTGATGATATTCTGTACAGGGACATATTAGAAGCAGAAGCAAACACTAATATATGGGACAGAGAACGAGCTAGACTACTGTTAGTTAGTGTAGTAGGAAATTCTGGCTTTAGGGAACAAAGAAATGTATCAATGAGAAAATAAATTTGAGGATATTTTGTACAGGGACACATTAGAAGCAGAAACACGAAAAGAAGAAAAGAAATGTATCAATAGGAAAATAAATTTGAGAATATTCTTCATAGGGACATAGTGGAAGCTGAAACACTTGCATAGGGAGGAAGATGAAGTGCTAGACTACTGTTAGATGGTATAGTAGGAAGTTCTGGCTTTAGGGAAAAAGGAAATATATCAGTGGGAAGAGAAATTTGAAGATATTTCGTACAGGGCTGTATTAGAAGCATAAATACTAGTATAGGGAGGTAAATGAAGAGCTAGACGACTGTTAATTAGGCTTGTAACATGTTCTAGTTTCAGGAATGTGCGAAGTTTGACTCAATTGAAACACAATTCTCACACATACACAGTGTAAAATAATGTATAAACGAATAATGTGCAAGTATGAGAAAAGGAAAAACAACACATATTTACCTTTTTTGATTTTCAGACCATTTTCTGGTGCACTTTCAACGAACCAACGCATTTAACAAAAGTTATTCTTTAAGTTCATTTAGGTGGTAGTAGAAATAGAAACACTCGTTTAAGTTTCAGCAATGAAAAATTTTATTCAAACAAATTACATCAACTACTTCAGTTGTCAGTTATTGTGTGATACACAAGAAGAAAAATTACATGCACAAGGTCGAAAATGTGATTTTTAAAAAGATTTTAGTACACGATATATTGGGACGCGTCATTATAAATTAAAACCGAAAATTTATCGTCAGAAAACAACATTTGCATTGGATATTATTCATTATTATCCGTACAGCATATTTTTGGGCTTAATTCAGACGAAACGATTAATCAATTAATTAAAAACAATGAGCGAAAATCACAATTTTCGTTACAGCATGCGGCTTATCATTATTATTAATAAATTTTTATACGACTACCTACACGCTATCCTTTGCTTCCGTTTGTTGTTGTTGTTGTTGTTCTTGTTACCTAGGTTAATGTCTCTTTTTATTTATCCTCAACTCAATACGAGAGTCGAAATTACAGCAAAAAAAGAGAAAAACCTATACCGATGATATATATACGATGATATACCACTACACATCTCTAAATTCTACTAAAAATTACAACATTGATTTACAAAACAAGAAATGGCAGCCACGATCTCTGTTTTGAAACAGCGAAATACATAATTCCTTTAATAAAATTGTTGTTATTTACTGTTTAATTACAATAAATCGAAAAAATGCCCACGCTCATGTCGTCGTAACGCACTTTTTTCTAGTTCGTTTTTTTCACTTAAAAAAGTGTTGTCGAGAGTGTTCCCCGAGCAGACCGGAGTGTTTTCGACAAATTTACCATTCCAGCAGTTCCTTTTTCTCGCAAACACAACACAAGGTGTCGAGTGAATTGTGAAATTAATAATAATTAATCTATAAATAAATAACGACCAAGTTCTAGCGGTACGAAAAGCACTAGTATTGTTAAAGCAAAATTACCGCTAAAACTTTGGCTTACTTTCCATTTTTTAATAATTATTAATTATTATAGTAGTAAGCACAAGTTGAAGTGAAAGTATTCGAAAGTCAGATCATCACCCCACACGGGATTGCAACAGTTCCCCTGACGAATGCGAAAACAAAATGTTACATGCAATAAATAAAATAAATTATAAAAATCGACAAGCAAAAAAAGGAAATTCTACAACTGGCAAAACCTAGGGAAATATATAAATGCTCGTTCGAGGGAAAAACAGTTTTTAATTCCCTTTACGTACCCTATTTGGTATAAAAACCATTTTACACAAATATTTCTTCAGTCTATATCATTTAAGAGTCGTTTCCACTTTAAAACCCCCCCCCCACAAAACCACCTGAAGGCCTTTATTTATGTCAAAAGAAAACCATTTTCTCTTACACTTCTCCGGGAATCTTCCTTTTCGTCCTACCTCCCCCTCAAACGAACACTTACGTACAAACAATCCCTAATAACAATAAATTAATAGATACACACGTAAAAAAAGGTTAATCTGACTAGCCCTTACAACTACCAATTGTAATAACAGGAAAAAAAAAATACGATAAGACAGGGGACCTGTCGTGGTCTGCTCGAGAATAAATAAATAACGTTACTGCACAGCCCAAGGTTCAGAGCGCCACTGTTGATAGTTAAATAACGGGTTTAAAGGCAGAAATGTTCAAATAAGGAGAAAGAGAGAAGTACAAAACGCAGTATCAGCAATTAATAATATAACAATATACACATACAATAATAATAATAATAATAATAATATTATTCACCTAATGCTGATATGGTGTCTTGGGATGGAAGAGGGAGGCGTAGGGGTTGAGGGATGAGGCTAGTGTTAGAGCAGGATGGGGAGGCGACAAAAATTAAACTTATTAATCGAAGGTGTGACGACGTGTGAAATTACATNTTTTACGAGCGCTTTTTTATGTTTAAGTTATTTTGTATATTTTCCCAATAAGTTTTCCGCCAGTAACTAGAGTGCAGTTATAGTCCTATTAGAACGCTATAGAAAACAATATTTAACTCGATTAATTAATATTCAATAATGAATCAAAAAGAAGCATACGAATATTTAAAAAGTTACATATACCACGATTATGAATTTTAAGACAAAAAATAACTTTTCAAGTTACACGTTTACGAAAAACAAATTTGGATGCAGCACAAAAAACGAGAAAACATAAGATAAACGCTGTTATCTGCAAGATATTGGTTGTAGAATCTTTTTCGAATGTTTAAAAAACAAAAGGGTTCAAGATCGTCATGTGTTCCTGCTTTCAGTCAGGTAGTACTTTTTTGTTTTAAGACCAAGTACTTACGAATTTTTCGATATGCATTTTGTATGGTAGAGGGAGGCGTAGGGGTTGAGGGATGAGGCTAGTGTTAGAGCAGGATGGGGAGGCGACAAAAATTAAACTTATTAATCGAAGGTGTGACGACGTGTGAAATTACATTAATTTACGGTAGACCGTAGAAGGGAGAGAGAGAGAGAGAGGGTTGTCAATCGATACGCAATTGCTTCGGTTGTTCCCATGTGAACCCGTCTCTGCCAAAGTGCCCATACACGCTTGTCTTTTGGTAGATTGGTTGTTTAAGGTTTAGCTCTCTAAAAAATTAAAAACATTAATTAAATGGTAAAAATACCGGATACGTTTCCCCATATCACTACTAATTAAGAGGAAACAACCCCGAAAGAGCAGTCTTGTAAACATTCAAAGAGAATGTTTGACAAACAATGCCCTCATTTGATATAGGAAAGATCAAATGGGAACGCCTATGTTGTCATTTTCACTCTAGCACTTTTTTGGAACGCTTTTTCAAATAGTCATCGAAGAAGCGTGGACATTAGTGCTTCAAAATAACGTAAATCTACCCTCAAACGAATTGGGTTGCTTACTTGACGATTTTGCCGGGCCTCAAGTCGAAATTTTTCCTGACAATTTCCAGGAGCTTCTTCTGGGACAATTTCGACGTTCCGTAGTCGAAAACGGTAATCGAAAGGGGCTCAGCAAGACCAATGGCGTACGAAACTTGCACGAGACATCTTCGGCACAGGCCTGCCTTTACCAGAGACTTCGCCACCCACCGCGCGGCGTACGCCGCCGATCTGTCGACCTTTGTAAAGTCTTTGCCCGAAAACGCGCCGCCCCCGTGCGCCCCCCAGCCGCCGTACGTGTCGACGATTATTTTACGCCCCGTCAAACCAGCGTCGCTCTAAAACAAACAATCGGTTGACAAAAAATACAACATTTTTATAACTTTAAAACGATTCGTTTAAATTTTCTCAGAATAATGGTTAGCTATCATTATTTAATCAGAAGTAGCAAATACGAAACATCATGGAAAAAACACCACCAATAAATAAAATAAATGTTCTTCAGGGTAAAGTATTACCTGAGGACCCCCAATAATGAACAGACCACAGGGGTTGATGTGAACAACGGTCCGGTCGTCTAAATACCTTTCAGGTATCACCTGACTGATTACTTTGTTACTTATCTCCGTTCTCAAATCCTCCAAGCTGATCTTGTCGCTGTGCTGTAGGGACACGACAACTGTATGAACCCTAAGGGGCACGCAGGCGCCCCGGGAAAAGTTGTACTCGCAGGTAACCTGCCGACACAAATTATTCATTTTAAAAATAACCAGCAACACATCATGAAAAGAAAAAAATAATAATAAAGCAGCAGTTTATATTCCTACTCCTGATGATGAGTGTTTATTTAATCGAAACAATCGTCAAGTTTTAATATTAGAAAAGAAAATATATGTAATCGAAAAAATCAATCTGAATCGGTTTTATGTAATGCAATATCATAATAAATTTAGTAAAAAATGAAATGGAATAATACACTTGGCAATTATCACCAATCGTATAATTCAATTACGTTCAGTTTACTTTAACAAGCAGTTAATGACACTGCATCACAAGGCGAACGTCTTGTGTTTAAAGAGGATATTACAGTCTAATATGTAGAACATGAATAAATAAATGTATAATAAATAGGAGATTTTGTAACGAAAACAAATTAAGAAATCGATTGAAATCGTGCTATTTGAAAAAATTTAGGGTTATCACAAAATATACAAACACGCAACACATTTTAAGAGATACTTGCGCTAATAAGGAATACACAAACATTTGTAAATAATTAATAATTAAATAAAAATAAAAAACCTATTGATATCAATAGCAGTGTGCAAGAATAAATAAGTAAATGCTTTGAATAATTTCAAATTGAACTACATTCTTTAAGAACTCCTAAATAATGGAATATTATAAACTTACTTGAGTTTTAGAATCGGGTCTGGCCCACCAAAATTCCCCCGATCGTCTCAACTCCGCAATTCTGGAATTTAATTTGTGTGCCAATACTACAGTCAGGGGCATGCATTCTTCAGTTTCATCGGTTGCGTAGCCAAACATTAATCCCTAAAACACAACATTTCATATAAAATCAACTTCATTTTAATCAGTCAGTAGAACAGAAGACCCTTAGCCCCATGAAGCCGAAAATCAGAAAGAAAGCAACACAAAAAGGCTAATAGTCACAACACCACACACAAAAGTTTAAATAAATTGCTAAAAAAAATAAAAACGACGAAAAAAGTGTGCTAAAGAATAAAAGAAGAAAGTATAAAAACGGTCAAAAGAATCACCTGGTCACCTGCACCCACTTCTTCCTCAGATTTGTTGATGTGAACGCCTGCTGCTATATTCGGAGATTGTTCATCTAACGCCAAAAGGATGCAGCAAGTTTTATGGTCAAAACCTATTTAAAAGGACAAAAAACAAAGCATGCAGTACACCCATTTAAAACGATTATAAAGCACCAGTTTTAATCGCAAATAAATAAGAATACAAATTGTTTACCTTATATATATGAGAATGTATGCCACATAAATAAAAATAATTGAACCAAATTAAACCAGAACTTACAAAACCCATTTATTAATAGTGCCCATTTTTAATAAAAATTAGGATCCATTATTTTTGGGACTTCACAAGTAAATGCATTGCTTTTCAGATGGTCAAATAAGTGATAGTACTCTGACTTGATTACATGCAAACCCAAAAACAATTTTGCAATAAATTTATAAGCAAATTTACCAGACAAAACATGAAATAGCTAGCAACCCAAATTTTGAAATATTATAAGTTTCTTTAATCATTTCTGTACCTGATCGCCCGCACCAATATCGCGTTCTTCTTTATTTTCATAAACACCGTTTGCTATATTTGGTGACTGTTCCTCAATAGCAATCAAAAGGTTCAAGGTTCGCCAATCGAATCCTATTTTAATCATTTATCAATTATAACACAAAAAATAATAAATAGAAAAATAATGGATTAAATGTACTAATCGAACGAGCAAACTGTGAAATAAACACATGTAATATCATTAAAAAGACAAATAAAACATTTTTCTACGAATTTTCACTGGTCATTGTTCTTAAATGAAAGCTTAATGACCTACAAATCATTTTTTATCATGTAACTAATTACCTTTTGATGAATCATCATAGCCAATGTGTTTGATCGTTTCTCTGACAACTTTTTGATAATCTACTACAGCTTTTGATGTTATTTCTCCACACAAGAGGATCATTCCAGTTTTAGTAACGGTTTCTGCAAGGGAATCACAAACAGTTTTTATAATACCACAAAATTTATACTCAAATAGTTTGCGTATTTCAAAAGAAATGATGCAATAATAGAAGTGTTGTATAAATTCGAAACATTCAAGAATAAATGTTCTAAAACCTACAGGAGACAGGAATACAAAAGTTATCAGTGTTTGGCTCTAAAACAACGGCAACATTGTTCTCAAATCAAACAATTTAACACTGAAAAATTACTCAAGCAAAGAACGATAAAATAAACTGCCAGTTAATCCAAACGAACAATATAGTAATCCAGTAAAGAATAGCCCCACACAATTGTCTAATAAAAAAAATTAAATGTTTACAAAAGTGGGGTTATAGTGACACAATAAAACTATTTAAAATATGAAAAAGATTCAATTACCGCAAGCTACTTTGGCATTTGGGTCTTGTTCTAGATGAGCATCGAGTATTGCATCACTTATCTGGTCACACATTTTATCTGGAACAAAATAAATGCATTGTATATTTAATTTGTTGTTAGCGGTTCTCATACACAACCACGTGGTTGCGGTGTGAACTGTAGGATTTTAGGTTTAGTCGTTATTTTCACTGCACTAATTCGTAATATTAGTTCCAGTTCATCAAGTAACATTTTAATTATAAATTAAACGTTTGATCTGCACTGCATCAACACCAGCCATCAGCCTCAATTGCTGCGACTGGTACGTAGCCATTTTACGTAATAAAGGTTTTTTAAAATACACAAACCTGGATGTCCTTCGCCGACAGATTCCGAGGTAAATAAAAAATTCGAGCCATCCTCCATGTCATAGGGATTATGACCATTAATAAAGCCATTAACATGCACTGTTTCGGGCATTCTGAACCTTGGTTTATTACACTATCAACAATACACACCGCGTAATCTTACACTCTAAACAACTTCAACCTGAAAGAGACCTCTACCGCGTAACTGACGTTTTATAAATGAACGTAGTTCACGTGACTCCCCCTTTTTAGTAACTATGAAGTTAGCGTTATTTACCAGTGGCGTAGCCACAATACTTTACCTAAAAATAAAAGGATACATATTTTAAAACAATTAAATAAATTAAACGTTTTAATATCGATATTTTTAAGCTATATAATGTTAAAGAAGTTATTTTTAATAATAAACTACTTTGTATAATTTAAAAAAATTTTGAAGCTAAAAATTATGAAAACTGTTGAAAAGTATGTTTTAAATGCTAAACAGTAAATTGTTTTATATATTTTAGTGAAATTGTTAATAATTTAAAAAAGATACCTGTCTTAGAAAGAAGCGCAACACTTTCAGTTATAATTTAGCAATGTAAAGAGTGTTTTAAACTTCGATTTATATAGGAGATGACTTGCAAAACTGACCTCTTTATTTCATCATATAAACACTAGATTAATCTACTAATTATTACTGTGATAAGTGACAACTGCACTACACGTGGCAATTCCGTTCATAAACATTCTGATTTCATAATTTTCTGAAGCACTTGTAGATACAGTTTTAATAAAAAAAAAAGATTATCATACTTACTTTTTTTATTAATGGAAAGATGACAAAGCAAAATTTTCAGATTACCTATATCTACCCTAATGATTGCATTTTAAATTTAACTGAATACTATTCATAGCGATGGCTATAGGTACTTCTTTGAATTGTGATGTAGGATGATGTAAATCAAAATTGCTAACTCGCATTTGGGTTATTCAAGAATTATTATTAATAATAAATAATTTTATCGTACTTGGAAATCCCCTCTTTGCAAGAGTCAATTGATAAGACACTTTTAACTCTTAAAATACTAATAAATATTTAAAAAAAAAAAGAAGAAACAATTGCTATCAAGGGTTTGTCTAAACAAAACACTTACAATTAAACAACTGCAATACTTTTTCACAGACTTTTGGTTCAATTATTACTGGAGAACTGAATTATATACGTAGACGAAAAACTGCAAGAAGACTTACATATTTTAACATACTTTTCTTTTTAAATTTATTCATTCTGGATTATCACATTTTGTGATAACGATGACGAAAGAGTGCATATTTTAAATCAGTTGTTTAAGCAAAAAGCTTAACTTATCACGCATTTCGACATGTTAATAATAAACAGCGATAATTACTTTTAATTAACCCCACGCAAAAGAATTGCGCGATTTGCTTTTTTTTGAACCATTTAACAAAATTAATGTGTGGTATAAGTATTGTGCCATATGGCATTCGTATAAATATACAATAAATGTTGTATTTCATGGATTTTTTGTTGTTGTATACAGTGATCATGCTCTTTGTATGTTTTAATTTAGATAAATTTACATGATGTAATATATTTTTCGCTATTACATGTAAACAGTACATCATATAAAATACAATCAACGAAAAATAGTACACTCTAACTGTAACAGATAATAATTCAGTAGTTAATTTATCTATAACTAATGACCAAATAGATATACTTAATAATTTCCGTAAAAATGTGACAAAAAAATTAAGACATATGTTTCAATTTATACGTAATTCTCAAGCAGATCAGTAATATCATTTTCGAATAAACAAAACACTATTGTAATTTGATAGACGTTTGTCAGCAATATCAATTTGCAGACAATCGAAAACGTTTCTTTTGTTTCTTTTATCAAAAGTGCCACCTTAGAGTTTAGAGTTCGTGAATCGTTTCAAGATGGTAGATATCAGATGAACAAAATATAGTAATACATTCGTCGTTTGTTTTGTCTCATAGACGCTATAGAAAACAATATTTAACTCGATTAATTAATATTCAATAATGAATCAAAAAGATGCATATGAATATTTAAAAAGTTACATATACCACGATTATGAATTTTAAGACAAAAAATAACTTTTCAAGTTACACGTTTACGAAAAACAAATTTGGATACAGTACAAAAAACGAGAAAACATAAGATAAACGCTGTTATCTGCAAGATATTGGTTGTAGAATCTTTTTCGAATGTTTAAAAAACAAAAGGGTTCAAGATCGTCATGTGTTCCTGCTTTCAGTCAGGTAGTACTTTTTTGTTTTAAGATCAAGTACTTACGAGTTTTTCGATATGCATATTTTACTTCAAACATCTAATTGACGAAAATATTTAATCGAAGTGAAGGCGAAGGTAAAAAAGCATAACGAGATAAGAAACAATAAAACTCTGATCTTTGTTAGTTATTGTTGCTTTATTATTTAAACGACACTGTTTGAAATCCAAAAGTGATTCTATCTCTAAATGGCATAAAAAAGGAACAAAAATAAATACCTATTACGTGGGTACAAAATTTTCAGGGATAAAAATAGTGATGTTATCGTGTGTTCCATCTTTCAAAAAGGCACTTTACAATTCAAGATATTATACATACCTACAATTCATTTTTTTTAACCTGCAACAGCTGAGCGCTCTCTTGAAAAGCAAAATATGTATTTCTTTTGTTTTGTTTTGACTCGAAAACAAAATACTGGAAGTCATAAGGTCACCCAAAACAATATTTAATCAGACAAAAGACAGTGTCACTGCACACTTTCTTTTCTTCATTTATCACAAAAAATTGCTCAAGTGATAAAATAAAACAAATTTGAAGTATAACAAAAAATAAAACAATCGCATTACAAACTAAAATTCAATAATAATAAATATTTTTGTATTACTTGCATGGGTTTTCGCAGAAATTATGTCTAATAGTAGTTAAATATATCTACACATACCTAGATTATGAATTTATGTAACAACAAAAAGATAATAAGGGCTAAAATTAATATTTTTTTACAATATAGCGGACGTTAGAAGTCAGTAAAATTAAAAAGACATTTTTTGGTTTTCATTCAGTATTAATAGATTATAAAGTTCGTCTACTAATAATATATTATCGATTTATATTTAAATATTTGGTATCTAAAATAACATGTACAGGTATTTTTTGTTCTTGAACGATTCCTTCACAGATTATTTGGCTTATGACTAGAATTATACAGTCACTAAACTATTGTTTTCCTTTTTCTTTTTGGCAACGGTTTACGAGAACAATAAGGGTACCTAATACCTACCAAATACATTAGCTAGAAAGTTAACTTAACAAGTTTTCAAGTCCCTCTTTCTAGACTAGGCACTTTTAACAATTTATTGTTATTAATAAAATACAAATGGTTACGTTTGAAACATTTCCGAGAATTTTGCGTTCATAAAATAAAAAAGAAAAAATTATTTCAATTTATGCAAAAACAGAAGAATAACACGAAGTTGAAATTGAATTTTCGTAAATCAACGAAAGCAGAACAGGGTGACAAATGAATATTAATTGACTCTTTCGACATAATTCCCTGGAAAGGTACCAAAATGACCGGTTCTTTGGCTCGACCCCACAAACCACCCATCGTCACACTTCTCAAGAACATACACAATATCACCCTCTAAAAGCTCAAGTTCATCGTCGTTCTGAGGTCGGTATTTATACAGCGATCGGTACCTGTAAGAAAGACCCTGATAATTTTCATTTGTTCTCACCCGCCCCCATTTCGCCTCACGCCACGAAAAAGAAATTAAATCGCATATAGAAGGGTAGAAATCATTCTTAAATGAAAGGTACCCATGTTAAGGCATACCTACCTGTAAAAATANATTGGACGCCGCACTGGAAAACCGTTGGCACCATGAGATTCTACGTATCTTTTTACGTAATTGTCGCTTCTCTGAACTAAGTAAATGCCTTCCATCTCCGAATAATCTTACGAGCGCTTTTCTACCTCTTTTAATCATTTTATATATATTAGCAAAAAGAATGCCGGAAAGTATTTATTGGACGCCGCACTGGAAAACCGTTGGCACCATGAGATTCTACGTATCTTTTTACGTAATTGTCGCTTCTCTGAACTAAGTAAATGCCTTCCATCTCCGAATAATCTTACGAGCGCTTTTCTACCTCTTTTAATCATTTTATATATATTAGCAAAAAGAATGCCGGAAAGTATTTATTGGACGCCGCACTGGAAAACCGTTGGCACCATGAGATTCTACGTATCTTTTTACGTAATTGTCGCTTCTCTGAACTAAGTAAATGCCTTCCATCTCCGAATAATCTTACGAGCGCTTTTCTACCTCTTTTAATCATTTTATATATATTAGCAAAAAGAATGCCGGAAAGTATTTATTGGACGCCGCACTGGAAAACCGTTGGCACCATGAGATTCTACGTATCTTTTTACGTAATTGTCGCTTCTCTGAACTAAGTAAATGCCTTCCATCTCCGAATAATCTTACGAGCGCTTTTCTACCTCTTTTAATCATTTTATATATATTAGCAAAAAGAATGCCGGAAAGTATTTATTGGACGCCGCACTGGAAAACCGTTGGCACCATGAGATTCTACGTATCTTTTTACGTAATTGTCGCTTCTCTGAACTAAGTAAATGCCTTCCATCTCCGAATAATCTTACGAGCGCTTTTCTACCTCTTTTAATCATTTTATATATATTAGCAAAAAGAATGCCGGAAAGTATTTATTGGACGCCGCACTGGAAAACCGTTGGCACCATGAGATTCTACGTATCTTTTTACGTAATTGTCGCTTCTCTGAACTAAGTAAATGCCTTCCATCTCCGAATAATCTTACGAGCGCTTTTCTACCTCTTTTAATCATTTTATATATATTAGCAAAAAGAATGCCGGAAAGTATTTATTGGACGCCGCACTGGAAAACCGTTGGCACCATGAGATTCTACGTATCTTTTTACGTAATTGTCGCTTCTCTGAACTAAGTAAATGCCTTCCATCTCCGAATAATCTTACGAGCGCTTTTCTACCTCTTTTAATCATTTTATATATATTAGCAAAAAGAATGCCGGAAAGTATTTATTGGACGCCGCACTGGAAAACCGTTGGCACCATGAGATTCTACGTATCTTTTTACGTAATTGTCGCTTCTCTGAACTAAGTAAATGCCTTCCATCTCCGAATAATCTTACGAGCGCTTTTCTACCTCTTTTAATCATTTTATATATATTAGCAAAAAGAATGCCGGAAAGTATTTATTGGACGCCGCACTGGAAAACCGTTGGCACCATGAGATTCTACGTATCTTTTTACGTAATTGTCGCTTCTCTGAACTAAGTAAATGCCTTCCATCTCCGAATAATCTTACGAGCGCTTTTCTACCTCTTTTAATCATTTTATATATATTAGCAAAAAGAATGCCGGAAAGTATTTATTGGACGCCGCACTGGAAAACCGTTGGCACCATGAGATTCTACGTATCTTTTTACGTAATTGTCGCTTCTCTGAACTAAGTAAATGCCTTCCATCTCCGAATAATCTTACGAGCGCTTTTCTACCTCTTTTAATCATTTTATATATATTAGCAAAAAGAATGCCGGAAAGTATTTATTGGACGCCGCACTGGAAAACCGTTGGCACCATGAGATTCTACGTATCTTTTTACGTAATTGTCGCTTCTCTGAACTAAGTAAATGCCTTCCATCTCCGAATAATCTTACGAGCGCTTTTCTACCTCTTTTAATCATTTTATATATATTAGCAAAAAGAATGCCGGAAAGTATTTATTGGACGCCGCACTGGAAAACCGTTGGCACCATGAGATTCTACGTATCTTTTTACGTAATTGTCGCTTCTCTGAACTAAGTAAATGCCTTCCATCTCCGAATAATCTTACGAGCGCTTTTCTACCTCTTTTAATCATTTTATATATATTAGCAAAAAGAATGCCGGAAAGTATTTATTGGACGCCGCACTGGAAAACCGTTGGCACCATGAGATTCTACGTATCTTTTTACGTAATTGTCGCTTCTCTGAACTAAGTAAATGCCTTCCATCTCCGAATAATCTTACGAGCGCTTTTCTACCTCTTTTAATCATTTTATATATATTAGCAAAAAGAATGCCGGAAAGTATTTATTGGACGCCGCACTGGAAAACCGTTGGCACCATGAGATTCTACGTATCTTTTTACATAATTTTCATCCCTTTCAATTTAGGAAAAATCTTCCATCTCCGAAAAATTTCGCGAGCGATTTTTTGTGTTTATATAATTTTTTCGTATATTTTCCCAATAAGTTTTCCGCCAGTAACTAGAGTGCAGTTATAGTCCTATTAGAACTTAAAATCGTTTAGAAGAAGCTTTAGTTCCTTTATTAATTAATGTGACAGATAGAAAACAAATGCATGCAATTCATCAAAAACGTTTATACAATTTTTTGATACAATGGATGATGCATTTGCATACAAATCAGGCCCAAGTTATTTTAATATTTTCCCACTATTCTCGTGTAATGTCTGAACTGATAATAATATTCAGAAAATGGTACAACTAGTCCAGTCAGAGATGCACATAATAAATAAAACGGGCAACTTCTAATTTCGAAAATAAAGACAGAATTGTGTCACATTGCAATCCGTTCCCTGATGTTAATAATAAAATTTTAATGGTCCCAGACTGCGCTAGATACAACATGGAATACGAAATTAAAAAGTTATTGAGTTGATTAAATTGTTTTTGTACAAATACATACGTCGTTATGTATAAATTTGTCACAGTTATAAAAACAATCTAAGTACATATACTAAAAACAATTGAATAGGCAAACAAATGCATATCAATCTTTTTATATCTCGAAAAGATTTTGTTAGGTATCAAAAATGAATTAATGAATGAATCCTTACCACAGATAGCTGTGGATTTCGATTTAATTAAATAAACAAACCTTTGCATACCTGGTAGTAATATAAAAAGTGAACTTTAACACTAAATTTTCACAATTGTCAATAGTACCTATCGATGAGATTGTCGCGTTAAAACAAAAGAGAAAATCGCGGAACAAATGACGATGTCGCCGTAAGTAATTACCGCGTTTTCTACAAAAACTCTGACCGACATACCGCTTACACACATGTAGAAAATACGTATGTATTACTATGTACTTGGTACATATCCATAAATAATTATATTCCTTCAACTATAACTAACTATGTATCTACTACTGGCTGGTGACACTCCAGTTGGCTGCAACTGAAGAAGAAACAACAATTTCATCACTTGTTTTTTTTTTCCGACTTACAATAGCGTGAACGAATGCCAAGACATTCCTATTTATTAATTATAATTACGTACACGTCTCACAAGTATCCTGTGAGTTAATTGTAAAAATACACCAATTCAACGCACTTGTATAGCGTGTAGTTTTAACTTAACAACCTTGTCGCGTAAAGTGAAGACATCATTTTTACATCCGGGAATGGATTTAAGCAAATATTACATACTTGTACTACTGTTTCTGTTCAATAACTAACTACCTATAGAATTTTAATCGATTGAAGGAAAATAATATAAGTATTTTATGGGTTTATATCAAGGCTTTTACCGTGAATGATTAATTGGCTCAAAAAAATCAGGATCGGTAAAAATTGACTTTAGTTTACAAAATATCAAAGTGTTCCAACAATCAAAACAATGATTATTGTGGATTACTAAAAAATATTTTTGTTTGGATTAGGTAGATTACTAACTGACGAAAGAAGAAGGCAGTGGTCCGTGGATTTGGTTAACATTTCCGATTGTGTGTCGATTCAAGCGGATCTCCTCTTGTCTAGCAATTTGTTCCGGTGTCTTCTTCCTCAACCGGATGTCCTCTAATACTTTCGACATTTCCAGTACGAGTTTAACAATCGCTACAATTGCAGGACCGCTCCAACTGTTATTAATATTAAAACAACACAACATCACCCACATTAACATCGCTTGTTCATGAGTTCATTTTTTTTTTATTGTTTTGAGATCGCGTGCCTACGTAATTTAACAATTGATAAATATCAGTCGCATCGAATCTGTTTTTTTTTGCGGTGATGATTTCTGAAACAATCGACGGCGGTAGACGGCAGCTGTTTAACAAAATCGATCGAAGTTGTTTCTTATTTTGTTGTTAATCTTATCTATCTGAAAACCCGATATGTATACGGCAGGTTTTTATTAATAAACGTGCACGACGTAGCGATAAGTTTTGATACTTCAAGGTTGAATACGCGTAATATTTTCACGTAGACATTACACACTTAAAACTTAGAAAAACCGCGAAATTCTATACCTAGTGGGGTAATAAATATGTACAACACCTATACATATAATATAATACGTACTCTTTTTTAAATTCGCACGATACGCAGATGAACAAACAGTAACGCTGCTGTAATGATCGACTCGCAATTAATTGCTATATCAGGCCGGTAAAGAATTAGCGATGAGAAGCTGATTGTGATTGGTGATGTAATCTGGCTGATTGTAAACCAGGAAGTATTTCATAACTCGATCAGTTGCAACAAAAGAAAATTTTCTTTACACATGGTGTAAAAACCGAGTTAAACAAAAACAAAAACAAAACGAAACAGTTGCTTCAAAGATCAAAAACAATTGATCGTTATCGTTACAGTATGGACAGATACTGTATTGTTTATTTGCTGTTGGCATTTGTTACAAAATAAGAAAATCGCACATCAAAAGAAGATTCGATGTTCCACTGTTGTTAAAACAAAAGTTATCGACAATACGACAATATCTCCCAAGAACACACAACAAAAACAAAACAAACTTTTCCCTACCTGGAGTTACGGCCTTGCCCGTTATTAAATTCCTCTTTGGTGGTGGTGCCGGTGGTTCTGGGTCTAAACATAACAACGACATGGAAGAAGCTGACATATCACATACACAAAGCCATAATACGATTGATAACAAAAATACATATAACGAATAAACATAATGATAATAATTATAGTAAAATGTGTGCAATGAATGAAATATGAAGTGATTCATTTTGTTTTGGACATTTAAGATACCGAACCTTTAAATTTTACTGTGGGTCTGGTAGTAGGATTGGGTAGCAACCACGACCTATACCTTTCTTCGGGACAGTACCTGGACAGTGGATCAATCTTTGGATCAAATTTCTTCCTCTCCCGACCTTGATCCCAAACTGTGTGGTGTCTAGGACGTATGGGGGAGAAAGATTTCGGTCTGGATCGATCTTTCCGTACGAGATTAGTGTCTCTGGATGCAGGGGAGTGTTCGGGGGAGGAAAGGGAACGGGTGTTGTCGTCCAGTCTCGGATATTTGTGAGCGGTCCAGTCTCCAGCAAGATACGGGGCGATATCTTTCAGTTCGTGTAGATTTGGGGATGACGTGAACATTCGGCCCAACAACGAAATGTTTCTGTCGGGAGAGTCGAACTTTTTTCGGAGTTTTTCCACCTCTCCAACGGGACATCCCAGATAACTGGCCAGTTCTTCGGTGCTAGTTTGGAAACGTTTGTGCTGCGAGGAGTCCCGTTTAGAACAGAGACTGGCTATTTTACTGATTATGTTAATGTGGGGCATTAGGCGATCTTGGGGACGGAAAAATAGGGGCGATACAACGCCACCTCTTCTTGTTCTGCTCCTACTTTTCCTACCGATCCACGGATATTCGTATTTTCTCCGTAACGAGTCAACATCTCCCGCCTTTTGCCCTGGGATGTGAATCTGGCTTTTTCTGTTCAATTCTGGATCGCTGTGGACTCTCCTGAACAACGTACTTTCTGTAAAGGTCCTCAATACTGGCAGATCTTCACTAGCCCTAGGAATCTTCTGACTAGGCAATCTTTCACCGAAAAAATCTTTCAGGTTTTGGTTTGACTGAGATCTGGTTAATGGTTTGACTGTTTGTGAAGAATCGGATTTTTCAGAGTCGCTGTCGGCAGGTTTGTACATTACGGGACTGTATTTTTCTTCTTCGGCCGCCTTCTCTTCGAAGTATTTTATTTTCTTTGTGACCTCGTCTTTTTTGTCGACGAATATCGCGGTTCTTGTCGACTCGTCCGTACTGGCACTCTCAGTTTCGCTGGTGGATTTTCCAACGGTTTCCGTGGACAGGTGCTGCTGTTTCTTCGGTTCGGCCCAGTTGCTCAGAGTGTTGCTGATTTCTTCCGATTTTCGTGCAGGCATCAGCTTCTCGGTCAGTACCAAAAGGTAATCGTTGTCTTTGGTCTTCTTGTCCACTTCGTCTTCTGATATTTCAAGGGAATAACAGGTCCTTGGAGAAGTGGCTTCGGAAGCGATAAGAGACGTACTAGCTGCTGCTATAGATCCTCTCGTTTCTTTGGGAAGAATGACGTTCCTTGCTGCGGCTTCCTTGCAAAGGGACAATGACAAATGTCTCTTTTCGTTTTCCGAAAGTACATGGGCAGTGACTTTTGCAAACGGACGCGGTGCTTGGAGGCAAGAAGCGGACGATTCTGAGCATCTTCTAACCTTAAGGTCGTCGTTAAAATTTTTCCGTTCGGTCACGTCTATAAAATAGTTAGTGTCGGTTTTTTTCGGCACAGGTTTCGGTAACGTCGCCGTTCCATTTTTGCCGTAGATTTCCGACAGTTGAGACTTGAGATTATCCAGCTGTTCGGTCGAAAGACTGCTCCATATCTGTCTCAAGAACCCAAAATCGGACTTCCCAAAAGTCTTCACAGGTGGAAAAGAGTGATCCCGTTGTTTCGTTTCTTCCGAGTGCGATCTCTTCTGTACCATGCTGGATGCCAAATCTATTACCGAACTTCCTCTCCACAGAGGCTTGTACAAATCTTTGACCAGAGATAATTCCGAACTGGTTAGGGACCTTTCGTTTCTGATACTTAACTTCTGCAGTTCGTCTCGTACATCTTCGATGGATTTTTCTTTAGCCCTTAAGCCATGGTCGTTCTCTGGTCTCCAACACTGAGTCGTTTTCGGCTCAAAAAGAAACCCTTTTTCCGCCTGGTCGTGTTTTAGTTTACTGTACAACAGTTTCATTTCTTTTTCGGCCCTTTCCCTTACGTGAACCTCCTTCCACCTGTTGTAGTCCACGATTTCGCTTTCCAATTTACCGCGAGGCCTAACGTCCGTGCTGGAAGCAACCTTCTCTACTTCGCTGAACTTTTCTAAAGTTTTGTAGAAGTTTTTCAATTCCTTGAACCTGTTGCAACGTCCCGGTGTGTGAAGATCGTGGAGAGAGCCGAATCCCGATAGCTCTGAAAAACTGACAGATTTTTCCAGAATTGGAGCTGTCGTTTTGGAATCGGTTTCTTCGGCATCTCCAGCGCTTCGAGATCTAAAAGATAGTCTTTTAGATGCTGACGTTTCTTTGACGGTTCGAGGAGTAATCCGTTTCAAAGGTTTCTGCAAAAGAGGTTCATTTGGAGATCTTTTGCCCGTTGGGGATGTAACTGGAAGTCCACCTTTCTCTGTGGAAAGGGATGACAAGCTACTTAAAGGGCTTGTTGCTAATTCTTTGGATTTTGCCAGATGCTCGGTGGCGAAGAAGATTTGAAGTGGATCCGGTCTACTCTGCAAGGTTGTTAAATGCTTTATCTGCTTGGAAGACAGTTTTGGAGAGGAAGATCTCATTTTTTGTGAGTGATCCTGTTTTGTGGGAGATATTGGACGATAATAATTCAAACTGGTAGTTCTGCAAGGAGATGGTGAACGACTGGTTCGTGAAATAGGGATTTTTGAAGGTAAACTAATACTTCTTTCTTTCCTATTGGATTCCGAATTGAATGAAACCAAATTTTCGTCTTTCCAAGTAACGGTTTTCGGACTGGCAGAGCGGGATCTCATGTAGGATGCGTCCAAGCTTCTAAATTTCGACTCGGACACCGGTTTAATGGATTTCAAATAGATCATCAGTGCACCTATTGATGGTTCAGAAAACGACGTTCTTCTATTTTGCAACATTTTAGTTTTCTCGGCGATCCAGGAAAAATCATCTGCCAAAGGCTTCTGAGCGATCCGAACATCTCCAATGATGTCCTTCAAAAACAAATGCTGGAAGAAATCGTTCGTTTTTATAATCTCGCTCTGCTTCTTTATCTCATCTTTAATGACAGTAGAAGCGTTACGATTTTCTTCTTTGTTTTCCTTAAGGGTATGTTCGCGGGAATCACTATTTTTGGATATAATTTTAGACGATTTTTTCTGTTTTCTATCTTTTTTACACATTGGATCGCTTTTGTTTTTTTCTCGGAATATCTCAGCGATATTTGTTGTTTTAGAGTTGGGTTTTGTTCTCTTACCATTAACTCTTTTGTTAATTATTGACAATTTACCATCGACTTCTTCCTTGGGAGGCGTTTTCGGCTTCCTTGTCGCATTATCGTCAGGCTTCGTCTTCATACGTCGACCTTGTAAAGGTGTTGATGGACACGATGTTATTTTCGGGAGCGATGAAATGTTAACAAAGCTACGGGAACTCCCCCTGGTCTTGATGGCCTTTTTGACTTCATTGGGGGACACCAAATCGAACGGTTTGGATAACTTATTAGAAGATTTCTGTATCGACAGATTCCTTTTAGCTTCTGCGAATGTCTGGCCGGCAGAGAAAAACTTCTTTTGTAAAACACCCTGGAAAGTTTTGTCCTGGTGTTTGGAGTTTTTAGACTCGACTCTTTTGGCATTCTTACAGCCAGTCTTGCTGCTCAACGTGGAAACAATTACCGGTCTGTCACCGGATGGGTTCAAACTAAGAGTTTTCGTGATTTTCAATTTAGATTTATCTTGAGTGGAGTTTCTTTTATTAGGCCCTGGCGACAGTCTGCAGGTGATTTTGTCTTTCAGATATTTCACGTTGCTTGTCCTGTGATCGTCGTTTGTTTTGAAGCACGTCTCGTGCCTCTTGCTGATAGGCGATCGGTCTGCTTTCAAAGTCATCGTCGATATGAGACGTAGGGTCGAACTGTTTCTCGAGGAACGTCTCTTGGGCGGTAACGGCGGAGTGACGGATGGCTTGTTAACGTTAGAGGGTAGTGAGGACGAAGGGGCCGTGCGTTTGTAAGTGGCAAAGGATGACGATGACGATGACGAAACGGGACGTAAGGGGACGTTGATCGGATACGTAAAATATTTGTCGGTTTTCGGACTCTTGTGAATCCGTATCTTCGTGAGCGTTGACGTGACAGGAATGTACTCTAAATCGACGACGTCTGCGAATATAAAAGGAAGTTCTTGGACAACACGTTTTTTTTTTTTTTCGTTTGGCATCTGTTGATGTTGCTCGATGCAGTTGCAGTTGCAGGATTGCGGTGCAATTTTAGACAAGAAGTGTTTTAATACGTTTTTGTGTGACTTGTTGGTTTTGATCGGCTGTTTCGTGATGACAAGCAGCTAGTGAACATGCACGTGTTTTAAATGTGCACGAAGATGAAAACGGCAATGCCTAATTGTATGGTGTAAAGGTCCTTGCAGTTTTTCACTAATAATAATAATCAATCTTTGTACTGTTCGTTTCAAGAAGTTGGAGATATGCCCTTTCCCTTTCTTAGGATGCGCCGTAGCAAAATTCAATCATATTTGTCCGCGGAGCTCATTTCTCCACCGATCATCGAGCGAGAACTAAACAAAAGTGTACAGTACCGTTTGCAAAATTCTTTAAACTTCCTCGTTAAAATTTAAGAATATGCTTTATTTAAAAGTGTATTTAGCCAAAAATAATAACAAGTGAATTAACTTAACGTTCTACACACCCACAAAACATTTGCTTTGTTTTCTATTGTTAATTTATATAGGTACATTTTTGTTTTAAGAAATTGCTAAACATTTTCGTTTAGTACTGTACAGTTCTAGCCGATCTCCTAAGACCGCCCATCGAGAGCTCTGCTCGTTCAAGCTTATTCCAACTATTTCTGTCTTGCTCACGCCTAATGTGTATTCTTTCTATCTTCGCGCAGATCTCTTCAAGGTCACAATTCTTACAAGTTGAAACGGACAGTACAAAAGTTGATTTAAGCTGAAGAAACTTACGGATTTCTCGATTCTAACCGCGTCTTATTGATGAAGTCCTTATGACGGATCATGGTGACGTTTCGTCTCCTATCGATGCAGGATCTTCAACGCTGTTGCTGAAGATGTTCCTTGTGATAGAAGACGAAACGTCGAACACTTTTAACGACACCGTTATCTGTCATAGGGATTTAGAATCCGGAAATCCAGTTTCTTCATTCGTTGTGCATTCTGAGGTGCATCATGCTACAGCTTGAATTGAATTGCTATTTTTATGGTAAACCCAATGGTTCGTAGAAAATTGGACGTAGGTCAACAGACGACACATTTTACACAAAGGGGCTATAATTTTTTTTCATACAAAAAATAAGAAAGTATGAACTTAATTTAAACATCCCGTAAATGTATTATAGACGATCTACTAAAATCATCTCAAATAGATAAGAGATTAACAATAGTCATACGTAAATTTTGAATTTATCTTCAAGAGTGACAAAGAACGTAACGTATTGTTTTGGATTTAACCCCCTGCTATCCCACTGGCGATCTGCAGTTGTCCAATGGCCAATTTTTTATGGACCACCCTGTATATGTATCTACATTACCTTACCTTTGCATTCGTTTTAGTTTCAACCACAACCAGCAGTTTTTCTAGACCCAACAAGTTGGAAAAAAGTATTTAACGAAATTAAGTATAAGCTTTAATCTCTTAAAGATTTAGATGTACAATAACTATAGAGAATTAACTACCCATTTACCCAAAACCTTCACCAAAACTAACTCTTCACCACAGATTTTTATTATTATTGTACATTTGATTTGTTTAAACAGATTTAGTTATTACACTTACCTTTAGGTCTTTCGGGTGCCGGTTTTCGTAATCCGTGCAGGGGTACATCGCCGCCCTTTTGTATTGNTGTTTTTGTACAAATACATACGTCGTTATGTATAACGATTATTTGGCTTATGACTAGAATTATACAGTCACTAAACTATTGTTTTCCTTTTTCTTTTTGGCAACGGTTTACGAGAACAATAAGGGTACCTAATACCTACCAAATACATTAGCTAGAAAGTTAACTTAACAAGTTTTCAAGTCCCTCTTTCTAGACTAGGCACTTTTAACAATTTATTGTTATTAATAAAATACAAATGGTTACGTTTGAAACATTTCCGAGAATTTTGCGTTCATAAAATAAAAAAGAAAAAATTATTTCAATTTATGCAAAAACAGAAGAATAACACGAAGTTGAAATTGAATTTTCGTAAATCAACGAAAGCAGAACAGGGTGACAAATGAATATTAATTGACTCTTTCGACATAATTCCCTGGAAAGGTACCAAAATGACCGGTTCTTTGGCTCGACCCCACAAACCACCCATCGTCACACTTCTCAAGAACATACACAATATCACCCTCTAAAAGCTCAAGTTCATCGTCGTTCTGAGGTCGGTATTTATACAGCGATCGGTACCTGTAAGAAAGACCCTGATAATTTTCATTTGTTCTCACCCGCCCCCATTTCGCCTCACGCCACGAAAAAGAAATTAAATCGCATATAGAAGGGTAGAAATCATTCTTAAATGAAAGGTACCCATGTTAAGGCATACCTACCTGTAGAAAAAGCCCTGATAATCTTCAATTGTTCTTCCCTGCCCCCATTTTGTCTCACGCCACGAAAAAAAAATTAAATCGGGCATAAAAGGGTAGAAATCATTTTTAAATGAAAGATAGTCATGTTAAGATACATGTGCCTGTAAGAAAGGTTCTAATAATTTTCAATTGTTCCCCCGCCCCTATTTCGCCTCATGCCACGAAAATCAAATTAAATAGGACATAAAAGGGTAGAAATCATTTTTAAATGAAAGATAGTTATGTTAAGACACACCTACCTGTATGGAAGGATAATTTTCATCTGTTCTCCCATCTCTTTTATTTCACCTTACACCACGAAAAAGAACTTAATTAGGACAAAAAAGGATAGAAATCATTTTGAAATGAATGATACCTGCTTTAAGGACTACCTGTTACTATTGAGAAGCTCACAATAATGATTATTTGTTATCCTTGGGACAAAAAGGGTTTATATACCTAACACTTAGTTGAAAAATACTTACGTTAGGGGTTCGTTTTGGGTATCAATGTGGAGGGCTTCGCTGTAAGGGCTCTTCGAGGTTGGGGCGTTGGGCGAACGGGGCAGGGACGCGTAACCATTGCTGGTTATGGTAACCGGCTTGGCACGGTAACTGCTGGTAAACTGCTGGGTACTTGGGGGAAGGTAACTGTGACTTCCCATCGACTCAATCCCGCTTGCTGTACCATTTAACAGGAGGGTGTGAGCAGCCGGTGAACCCACGGGTTTCGAAGGTGCTGGAGGTGCCGGGGTTCCAGGTTCCACTGAAAATAATCGTCTCTTTTTCTACTGCTTCAGTGAGGTATAGGCACCAAAAACTTACCCAACACTTCAACGTACGACACTGGGAAGATGCCCTTCCGTCCCCCTATGCGCCCTTCAAACCAATTGTCATCGACCCTTCTCGTAATGACCACGAGCTCCCCTTTGGCTAACGACAATTCCAGATGCGTCTGCGCTATGAAATTGTACTTGGCCCGAGCCTGTCCCTCGTGAGCTTTCTTTGTCGTCGATTTTACACCATCGTAAGGCACTATCTACGAACAAATGCAAACGAGACATTTCCAAAAACAAAAGAATGTTTTATCTATCTCACTTCGACGTAGTTGGCTGGGAATAGTCCCATCATGGCGTTAAGTTCGCCCTCGTACCAATTTTTGTCGATCTGCCTCTTAATGTAGATGAGATCGCCTTTCCTGAAGGTCAACTCGCGGGCTGTTTGGCCCACGAAATTGTAAAGGGCGCGGGCAACGAGCCTCGGTTCCGGTGACCTGGGTCGCGGACTGATCTTCGGTACTTCTAGAGGGAAGTCGTCGTAACGATTCAAAGGTATTGGAGATTTCTGGGACGGCACGAAGTTGTCCGTGTGTCTTCTACTGTTCATGTCTTGTAATTGCTGCGAAAATGATTGTTTTCGCTTTCAAAACAAACAAACGTTACTCTTTTTTTTTGTGTGGCTTACTTGCAGATATTTTTTACGTCTCTCTTCTTCATAAACCTGTCGCATGTGGGCCGCCTGTCTTCGTGCCAGTTCTTCTTCTGACAGATGATCCTTTATTTCCTGAACAACCGGCGTTTTGTAGTGAATGGTCACCTCGTTTTCTACATATTTCCTCGGCGATTCTGGAGGAAAAACAAAACCTCACTAACAGACAATAGACGATCAATTGAGCTCAGGTTTAACAAGAAAACAATAAACAAAAAAGTTATGAATATACATATGTATGCGTATATTTCTATAGCAACCGCTGTATATTTAATCATTACCAAGTCATGCAATTCAATACATTTGATTAACTATTTCGCATCGCACTCGAAAACCATTGGCATCATGAGATTCTACGTATCCTTTTACATAATTTTCACCACTTTCCACTTGGTACAAACCTCCCGTCTCCCAAAAATTTCACGAGCGCTTTTTTATATTTAAATTATTTCGCATATTTTATCGAAAATTATGCCGAAAACTACCTATTTGGCATCGCACTCGAAAACCATTGGCACCATTGGATTCTACGTACTTTTTTACACAATTTTCATCCCTGTCAACTTAGGAGTTACCTTCCATTCCTGAATAATTTTACGAGCGCTTTTTTATGTTTAAGTTATTTTGTATATTTTCCCAATAAGTTTTCCGCCAGTAACTAGAGTGCAGTTATAGTCCTATTAGAACTTAAAATCGTTTAGAAGAAGCTTTAGTTCCTTTATTAATTAATGTGACAGATAGAAAACAAATGCATGCAATTCATCAAAAACGTTTATACAATTTTTTGATACAATGGATGATGCATTTGCATACAAATCAGGCCCAAGTTATTTTAATATTTTCCCACTATTCTCGTGTAATGTCTGAACTGATAATAATATTCAGAAAATGGTACAACTAGTCCAGTCAGAGATGCACATAATAAATAAAACGGGCAACTTCTAATTTCGAAAATAAAGACAGAATTGTGTCACATTGCAATCCGTTCCCTGATGTTAATAATAAAATTTTAATGGTCCCAGACTGCGCTAGATACAACATGGAATACGAAATTAAAAAGTTATTGAGTTGATTAAATTGTTTTTGTACAAATACATACGTCGTTATGTATAAATTTGTCACAGTTATAAAAACAATCTAAGTACATATACTAAAAACAATTGAATAGGCAAACAAATGCATATCAATCTTTTTATATCTCGAAAAGATTTTGTTAGGTATCAAAAATGAATTAATGAATGAATCCTTACCACAGATAGCTGTGGATTTCGATTTAATTAAATAAACAAACCTTTGCATACCTGGTAGTAATATAAAAAGTGAACTTTAACACTAAATTTTCACAATTGTCAATAGTACCTATCGATGAGATTGTCGCGTTAAAACAAAAGAGAAAATCGCGGAACAAATGACGATGTCGCCGTAAGTAATTACCGCGTTTTCTACAAAAACTCTGACCGACATACCGCTCACACACATGTAGAAAATACGTATGTATTACTATGTACTTGGTACATATCCATAAATAATTATATTCCTTCAACTATAACTAACTATGTATCTACTACTGGCTGGTGACACTCCAGTTGGCTGCAACTGAAGAAGAAACAACAATTTCATCACTTGTTTTTTTTTTCCGACTTACAATAGCGTGAACGAATGCCAAGACATTCCTATTTATTAATTATAATTACGTACACGTCTCACAAGTATCCTGTGAGTTAATTGTAAAAATACACCAATTCAACGCACTTGTATAGCGTGTAGTTTTAACTTAACAACCTTGTCGCGTAAAGTGAAGACATCATTTTTACATCCGGGAATGGATTTAAGCAAATATTACATACTTGTACTACTGTTTCTGTTCAATAACTAACTACCTATAGAATTTTAATCGATTGAAGGAAAATAATATAAGTATTTTATGGGTTTATATCAAGGCTTTTACCGTGAATGATTAATTGGCTCAAAAAAATCAGGATCGGTAAAAATTGACTTTAGTTTACANTATAAAAGGAAAAAGGGAAACTTTAGGTACATGAAGCAACATTTCAGAAACAAAAAGCAACAATTGAAAGAAGAAAAATCACTTTAGTGGAAATTGCCCTTCGTTTATAAAATATAAAAGAAAAAAGGGAAACTTTAGGTACATGAAGCAACATTTCAGAAACAAAAAGCAACAATTGAAAGAAGAAAAATCACTTTAGTGGAAATTGCCCTTCGATATGAAAGGATTATCCGTAATTATTGTGGAAATGAATTAGAGAGGACGTCATTTTGAATACAATTTCAATATTTTTCTCTAAAAGCCCCTTGAGGGTTACCTCCTTTAATAATTTGTGCAATAATCTCAATTATATTAGATTACTTGGTATAGACGTACAAATACGAAATATTAGGTAATAATCATAGGCGTAGATAGTAGAAAAAATCTTGATCTACGCCCATGGTAACAATTTACTTCATTTAAAGAAATATTGCTTTTGTTTCATTTATAAAACAACTGAAAGTGTGTTAGTAGAAATGTATAAATAGAAACAGTTGCAGTTTAATCGTAGGTGAATAAGCAGAGTCAAAATTAAAACGTAATGAGTCACCTGTTTTGCTTCCCTCTCGGAAATTGACGACTTTCCAGGGGTGTAATTCTCTATTTTGCCAGGCTGATTTTTGTACACGTCTTGCCCATGTTTTATTACACTAGAGGGTGGACTTCTAAAAACAAAACGCATTCGCTTTCATCAAAAATGCCCGCTAATAATGATGTCAATGGTTTTTGTTTCATGTATCTACCAATTTTTAAATTAATAATGGCTTACTTTGGGGTTGTCGAGGGTGCGGCGCGAGCGGGAACTACAGGGGTCGTCGAAGGAGCAAAGCCGTTTTCTTTGGGGTCGTTTAGGTACAGATATCGCCGACGATCCAGCGTCGAGCGTCGGTCACTGGCGTCGCTGTCGTACGCGGTAGGCTCAGGCTCGGAAAAGTAGCCCGAGTTATAAGGGTAGCGAGCTTAAATTAAAAAGAAAAAACCCCTCACACAACAACAATGAAATAAATAAGGAAAGATGACAACAAAGTTCTCAGTTCGGCACAAATAGAAAATAAACTTTATTATTTATGTTCAAACAAAACAAATTTTAAGTCGTCATTTCTCCTTCTATTGGAAAGACAAGTAAGGCTTCTGTTTTTAACAAGTACTGTACAACACAACATTCTTTAAAAATGCTGATAGCGTTCGCTATATTTTACTGAAAAGTCGTTAACAATGATACGCCGCGGCCATTTAAGAAGCGTCGACCCCGAAANTCATTTCTCCTTCTATTGGAAAGACAAGTAAGGCTTCTGTTTTTAACAAGTACTGTACAACACAACATTCTTTAAAAATGCTGATAGCGTTCGCTTTATTTTACTGAAAAGTCGTTAACAATGATACGCCGCGGCCATTTAAGAAGCGTCGACCCCGAAATATGATCGACCATTTTCTACAACTTCGACCTAATTTACCAAAAGGAACAGCGGAGATGTGTTGTTACAGCATTTTTAAAAGACAAACTACTCACGCACATCACACATCATTTTAATAATTATATAAAGCAAAATGATGGCTCCAAGCATATACAGGGCGACTAATAATTAAACAAATGGAAAATGAACGCTGGGAAATGTTCTAACAATTATTATTTTTTGAACCACTGTGTATACAAGCGAATAAATAAGACGTAAATAGTAAAAAATAAAAAAAAAGTTGAAGATCAAAACGTAGAATAGAATTTCATTTATTCCGTTTCTCTTTTTTTTTTAAACGGTATCCAAAAGCCATTTGATTCTAAAGAAACTTAGGACAAATAAATACAGATATATAAAATGATTTCGCGGTTGGCACTCATCAATTTGGTATTGTTTCCAGGGTTGAAAATACTCCTGGAAATTTTATTTATATTTAAATGCAAATAAAAACATAAATAAATGAATGTAAGCATTGGAAAACTACAGTACAAAACCCCCAGTTTTTCAACAAGAACAAACGCACCTCATACCTAAATTTTCGGAAGAGCAAGCAAAAGCGAGCAAAAAAAAAGTATTTAAATATGAAATTTGGTTAATACCTCGTCTTTGTTTATATCGAACTGTAACATAATCATCTGGAAAATAACAAAACAGAATTTTTTTTAAAACGCAATCCGAAACCAAAAACAAAATAAATCAAGCAAAATTAAAAAGTAATAAAACAAAAGTGAACGTCTTTTTCACATAAAAAAATGAAACAACTTTACAATCTTACCTTTGTCTTTTTGTTTATGGATTGTGTCATACATCCTTTTGTACCATCTGTGCTGATTACCGTCTTTAACTTCCTATAATAAAAAAAAAAACGATCGAATTTTTATTTCGAATTATTATTTTCCAAAACTTATTTCGCCATACCGATCGTAGTGTTATTGGTATTCCTTCTTTAGTCGTGGGACCAATTCCCTCGTATTTTCTTTGACCAAGGTCTGCCATTTTTCTTGGGGCTTCCCCTTCCGATTCGCTGGTATATTCGTTTTTGATTTGGTACACTACAAAACATAAAATTTTTAATAAAGTCTTTGCTACTTTTTTGATAATACGAAAACAACTCACAAACTTCTCCAGGTTTCACCAAAGGTGGTTTATCATCTTTGGGCCTTCTTAAGGTATTGTCATCGGGGTAGTTTATGTAGACTGGACCTTTAGGAATTTGACCCTCTAAGAACAAAACATTCATGGAACTTTTAAACATAAACATATATTTCAAGTTATTTTACCTCTAGCCTTTTGTAACAAGGTGATGGTTGGATTTTGATATCTGGGCAATCGCGAGCCGGAAAAGTCCGTAGATTTGCTCCGTGGTATTTTACTATCAGAAATAGAAAATGTACCACCACATGTACTATTATTTAAATCAGAAAAAATCTTCCACGGCGGTTCTATCGACGACGATTGAACCTTCAAAACCAAAATTAAACCATTAAAAA